TACACTTTCTCTCACACACGCAGACCACCCACTTTCTTCACACACAAAGACAGGAACACACACACTCGCACAGTACGAAGATTCACACACTCGCCGCCACCTGCCCTGCCGCCACCTGCCCTGCCGCCACCTGCCTGCACAGCCGATCGCCGCCACCAGTCCCGTCAAGAAAATCGTCGTCGCCGCCATCATCCCCGTCGAGCACGTCGTCGTCGCCTCGCCAGCAACGCCATCAACAACCTCCAACATACCCGTCACCGCCACGCACCGCCCTCGGCCGCGCATCTTGACTGAAAGTTGTCGTTAAAGGCTATTTCAGCCTCCGATCCGCCGATCTTCGTCGAGATGGCCGCGAGACTCTCGAAGACACCCGCAGTGTAGTAGCCGAAAAATGAGGTCTGCAAAACCGCCTCCAATAAATCGGAGTTGCAACATACTCGCCTGACGTCGGGTGATTTGAGCCGTTGAGATGACTTCACTATTCGGGCGAGAAGAAAACTGAATGGTGGTAGAATTTGGACTGGTTTCGAAAATTTTTGGAAGATATGAGTTAGGGGTGTCTTGGGATAATTTGATATGTTAAAGGGATCTTGTTGCAATTTATTAAATTCTAATATATTTCAATTTAGTACACTAGACAAATCAATAATTTAAGTAAAATTTCAGGGACTTAGCTGTAACTTTTGAAATTTGAATATATTACAATATAGTTCATGGGCGAAAATATAAATTAACAAAAAGTTAGTAAATGCACAATACTGTTTACTAAAATGCACAATATAGTGTATATATATGCACATTAAAAGATAAAAAATCACAAATGCACGTTAGAAAAAAAAAAATGGTTGGATTTTTATTTAAGGCGAAATGTACACACCCATATTCGCACTACATAATGCACAGTGTCGATAAATTTATCGCACAATAATACATATGAGAATACACAATATCGTAACAATGTATTTTAATTTTTTTTCATGCGGGGTCATGATGGAAATATACGATAATGTGCATTATCACACGCATTAATGTGCAGCTGATTAATGATATTGTGCAATCTATCTAGCAATATATTGCACTATCACAAGTTTACCACAAATGGCAATGCACTTAGTGTTGTTCATTGAACGAGCCGACCGATCAGAATAACCTAGTTGATCTTAGAAATAATAATAAAAAAATGTACCATATGAACCGAAACAACTATTTATTCGGTCACTTAACCAAATTAATCAAAATAAATAATTTTTATATTATAAAAACATATGTGATATATTAATCTTTTTATTGTCATATTTTATATTGTTGTTTTTGATAAAATAAATACTATATATAATGTAAAAAAATTAATATTGGTTACATAGTCCAGTTAATTCAGGTATTTCGATTATTTTAAAAATAAATTGTTACGCAACCGGAATAACCAAAAAATTAAATGTGAGAAACCAAAAAATATGGGGAATTATGCTTTTTTCACGAATGGCAATTTTATTCACTACGTTATTGTGTAATATGCCTATCACTATTGTGCATTCTACACTATTGTGTAATATGCCTATCATTTAATTACACTATTGTGTAATTAAATGTAGAATGCACAATAGTGATAGGCATATTACACAATTTTATTCACTAGTACTACACTAAAGTGCAATCTCATATACGTTATTGTGTAATATGCCTATCACTATTGTGCATTCTACATTATAAAAAACTCATGTAGAAAATGTGCATTTATTAAAGTTGACTTGGATGAAAATAAAATCAAACCGAAATAATATAAAGTCTATTGGGTCGGTCAAGCCAGTCAATTATAATAACTGCAATAAATATGTTATTTTTGTTATAAAAACATATTTGTTGATTTAATGTTTTATGTATTTGTTTTGGCTGAAAATTTAAAGTTTATTTATATAAATATATATATATATATATATATATATATATAAGTACATTAATCTCCTTAAACAAGAAAAAAAAATCCCATTGTCAACAAGGAAAAGTGTGAGCAAGGAAAAGAAAATGCCCAGTGAGCTGAAAAAGCAATGATACATTTTTATATAAAAAATATAAAAAAAATAATATTTTTTATATTGAACTTTTGAATTTGCAATTAAGTCCTTGAAGGATGTCAAATTTTCAAAACAAAAGCCTCCAATTCCAAATTTATTCTCTGCATATTTTGAACTTTGATTGTTTTCGAGTAATTTAAACGATAGGCAAACATATGTTGAAACTTGAATATTGACCAACTTTGAGTGTACCTATCACATAGTCATGTAAGAAAATGAGTGAGACCTATATTATAATCTATGAGTTTTAGAGTTTGTCATTTCAAAGTCAAGTTGATATTTGAGGCATATGGTCGTACGGTTTGGAATTCGACTCGATTGAGTTGGGCATTTTGAGACTCTTCTTATTTGAAACCGTATCCATGCTTGTGTCTTGTTTTCTTTTCTTTTTGTTCGGGACGAACAAAGGTTTAAGTGTGGGGGAGTTGTTTGTCCCATTTTTGTTGCATTTTTTGTTGTCATTTTGCCTTTCTTTTACCCCCATATTAGGTCTTTTAGTTGTTTTTTTAGTTTGTTTTGTAGTTTATTTCGTGGTTTGCTCTATTTTGGTATTTCTTTTGTTTCTCGTGTGTTTTTTCAGTTTTCTTTTGTTTTTGGTGTGCAGGTCGGAAGCCCCGTGAGGAATTGATTTATCCCAAACATTGATCGGGCAATCATGGTTGTGAAAATGGGTTCGTTGGCTACATATAGGAAGAAGCGGAACTCAATTTCGAGCTCGGACGAGCCCGAACGGGCTCAAACAGTAAAGTCGCGCAAATCACATTTTTGGTGTGCATGTCATAAGCTTTGGGAGGACACGTTTTCAATAAAATATTTTATGGGTTTGCACAGTTAGATAGAGGGGTTCGTTAGCAACGCGAAGAATAAAACGGAACTCAATTTTGGGTTCAAACGAGCACGAACGAGCAAAAATCGTAAAGTCGTGCAGTGCAACCCAATTTTCTTTGCAGTGGCCGCGACCCCTTTCTTCACTGCGGCCGCGGCGAACAGAAAACTGCCAGCGCCCAACCTTCTGCGGAAAAATGTCGCGGCCTCAGGAATAGTCGCGGCCGCGGAGCCTTTGCTCACTGCGGCCGCAGAGGGCGCGACAGGCAGCTTTTTAATAGCAAAATTTAGCTTTCGTTGGGATTATTCTCCCCCTCCTAGAGACGAACCTAGGGCAAGAAAACACGCAAAAACTCCTCTCTTTCCCTTCTTCTCCCCTCTTCTTCTTCTCCTTTCTTCCTTCTTCTTTCATCTTTCTCTTCCATTTTTCTTCCTCTTTTTATTGGAATTCAAGGATTAAGCTTTGTAATTTTGGATTCAACACTCGAATTGCGATTTATTGTAAGTTCTTCTCTTTATTTTAATTCATGAAAAATGATTGAATTGAGAGAGATGATTGATTGTGTTGAATTGATATTACGTAGTTAATTCTTATTGCTAGGGATAGGGGATGATTGGTCTTATTAAATTCGTATCTCTCGGGCTTGAATTGTTCGTTCTTGTGTGGGTTGAATTGATTCAGAATTGTTGAATTCTTGTTCGATATATTGATATAATCGAAAAGTGACATTTCGATCTTGCTATTGGTGACAATTGGATGTTAATTTGTCGACTTAGGGTTTGTCGATTCTATGTGATTGGTTGATTAAACTTCTTATAATTGAATTGGAGATTTTTAGACCCGAAAGGGGAGAAGTAATGGAAAAATTAATGAACACTATATCTTAAACATGAAGAGGTAATTCGGGTAATTATTATTGGAGTCTCAATTGTAATTCGGGCTAGGAAATTAGAGTGCAATAATATTATGTTAGTGGACCATAATATTATTTAAGTAATTGAAAAAGTGGGCCAGACCCACAGTTAGTCTATTACTTAAGAAGCATATTCTTCCATTCTCATAAGGGTCCCTACTGTAGCTCTATATATACATCATTAGGCTCATGGAAAAGACAAGAAGATATCAAAATTCTTCTATGTGTGCTAATACACGCCGAACGCGCCTTTCTCCCTCTCTCTCTCTCTCAGAGTTTTCTGTTCGAGCTTTATCTTATTCTTGTTGCTCCACCTGTACAAGTTGAAGAGGTGTACGTGTAATACAATAGAAGATCCCAAAGATAACCGAGACCCCGGAGATCAATCGGAGCCGATGTCCCGGCGAGCTCAACCCGCAGGACCACCGCCGCGCCTAACCGCAGCAAGCCACAGACCCACAGCGACGAACCAGCGACTCCACGACAGCCGTTTGATGAGCCCGATCCACGACCCGACCTCCTTTCTATTCCAGGATTCTGACGTGATGTTCCCGGTCATCCTAAATCTGCCTGATACATAAAATTTTAAGCCGTAAGTTTTCGACGTCAAACCTTTAGATCCGCTACGCATAGGTTTACGTTTTTTTATTAAATTAATGACTTGTGCATAACGAGATCCTCATATATCTCAACAAATTATTCCTAGTATATTTAGGTGTTTGATTATTACGACGAGGCCTTGTCGCATATTCGACAAAGGAACAGCTTGCGCGACTACCAAAAAGAATTTGAGCGAATCGCTATCCGCATACGCAACTGGCCAAAGGGTGCCCTCGTAGGCACGTTAGTCAAGGGCCTGAAACCCAACCTTGTTGTAGATGTGCAATACATACGACTGTGTGAGACCATGGAAGTCGTGCACATGCATGATGAACACTTGGATGTTGTACGCAAAGTCAGCTGCGCCGCACGGTCCCATCTGCGGACTTCACGCCCCAGGGTGGGAGTGGAATGATAGCAAAGGACTCGAGGAGTGTAGCGACAACGAGCAACCTGAGGAGCAGAGCGACAACAAACGAACCGAGCACAAAGTGCAGCGAGCGACTTGGGGCCGATACCAGCCGGGGTTCGACCTTTATCATGGGACAAGTTGCAACAACATTAGGAGAAGAGTTTATGCTTTAATTGTAATGAAAGATTTACTCCGGGCCGCAAATGCAAGGAAAAGTTGTCATTTTTATATCGAATTTCCCGAGTCCGACGAGGAGTGCATGTGGGACAAGCCAAAATATGACACCGAGCCTTCCAAGGATGATCTAGAGATATCTATCCACGGGATGACGGGAACCAAAAGGCCTAAGACGATGAAACTACCAACGTGGGTTCAAAATCGACAAGTTGTGGACAATGGTTCGTCACATAATTTTATTAATGCCACATTGTCCCATTAATTGAGTTTGCCAATGATGAGAGT